GGTCTGTCTTTTCTATGGTGTTATTTTGCTATTCTGTTCTCCCTGTGTCTTGTCTTCCTCCCTGTCGCAGTGTTCATTTTGGCAGCTGTTTTTGATTTAGTCTTAGTCTTTAGACGAAAATGGTTATTAGTTTTAGTCACATTTTAGTCATTCCTATCCTTCGTAGTTTTAGTCTAGTTTTAGTCGACGAAAACTCAAAACGTTTTAGTCAACTTTTAGTCGATGAAAAATCACATTTTAGTCAAAATGTGTCTCTATACTCTCTGAATGCTCCTTCCCCCGGCAGATCTCTGTGTCCGCTGCAGCATGTCTGTTAGGCCCCGCCCCCCGCACACAGAGAGACAGGGAGATCGCTCTTCTGGAGTGAAGAGAGCGGAAATAATGATATTGCAAGTTAGAAACGTAAGACGCATTTTGACAGACAGGATGGACAATTGGGGGAAAATATGCTGCATTTTGAATGTCCGATAGTCCACCATTAACACCTTAGTCCCGTCTCGTCTCGTCAACGAAAACTAAATATACATTTCGTCATAGTTTTCGTTATCAAGAATCTATTTTTAGCTCGTCATCGTCTCGTCTTAGTCATGTAAAAAAGGTCGTTGACGAACATTTTTCGTTATAGTTTTCGTTGACGAAATTAAAACTGGTGTGTCTTGCTCAAACTGTATGAAGTAGCCACAAATCAACTATTAAAGGACTCCAAACAACAACAACAATATGCAAAACAGCCACAAAGAGACACAAAACAACTACAGAGAGACTCAAATGACGCACAGAGACACACAAGCCACAGAGTGATGAGTAAACACTGCAACACACACAACATGTAGTATGTAGTAGAGGTATTGGCCCCTGTAAACATTGAAGAGTCTCCACTCTGGCTCTAAAAGTGAGGCATGAGGTCTTCATCACGTTTGTCATCATCAGTCACGCTTGGTATGATCTGTGTGACGGATGGAGGCTCTGCTCCATTAACCAGGCCCTCCTCTGGGGGCCACAATGAGGGATTAGGACCCCCAGACAGAGACTGATGTTCTGCTGTGTCGTTACAGGGCTCTCCGGGAACAGCTGGACCTCAAGGGCCCCCTGGAGCTGATGGAGCAAAGGCAAGTTAACACAATAAGCTCCACCTTTATCGCTCCCAACGGGCCAATTAGATGCTTTTGTCAACAATGTTCAGCTGTAACAGGCACTGAATTATGTTCCGTGTTTGTGCTACATCCACTGTCTAATAACTGTGAACGTATTTCCTTTGATGAACAGTGTTTCGCGTGGATGCTTTCCTTCTGAAATATAACATTTTGTCTCATTTTCTGTTCACCCTCAGGGTATTAAAGGTGATCAAGGACCCCCTGGGGGCGCTGGAGACAAAGGAGACAAGGTATACTTTTTCTATTACACGCTTATCTGCTACTTCCCCTCCTTTCTCTCTGTGATCAAAACAAACCTTTATCAGGATATTGTTATAAGATTCAGAATCAGATTTGTTTATTCGTCCCGCAGCGGGGACATTTATGGTTTTACATATTATTTAATTAGGCAAGCAGACGTTGAGACATATTTTTTAATATTTAAAAACAATTAACAAACAAGTCCACCATGTATTGAAGCTGGTTAACACATTTGAACTACATTGTAAGAACATGTTAAAGCGTAAATTGCACATAAGTGTATATCGCTCACAGTTTTTGAGTTTTATGTATCATTACCTACTTTTGATCCCTTTCTCCTGCATTATCAGGGTCACCCGGGACCTCCAGGTCACCCAGGTGCTGCTGGAATAATGGGAACAGCTGTAAGTCATTACTCTGGGCTTAATTATGTGTCATTATGAGCCTAACATGGTCTTATTTATTTGACCTTTGTATTTCTTCTAACCCCAACTGACATGCTCTCTTTCCTCTTTCAGGGTAACGATGGTCAGCCGGGTCCTCTCGGCCCCCCGGGGTCCACTGGAGAAAAGGTGAGGATGCACTTTGTGTACTTCCCCCCCTCAGAAAACATATTTCTCGTGTGCCATTATAATTTTTTTAACACTCTTTTGTATTGTCCTTTTTGTAAACATTCAGACGAAACATACATACAACATACACCCGCATACGTACTCCAATGTGTGCAGACTAGTTACTGCTCATACATGTATAACATCCATCTCTCCATGGGTGACAATATTCACCTTAGTCATGTAGAAAAATATCTACGTGTATCTCAGCTTACATACCAAAAGCACAGAGTGAAAATGTATAAGAATAATACATTATAATCATAATGGCCTGAGGTGTGACCTCATTACAATGAGAAACATCAGATAGAAGGGAAAGAAAAATACACATATATATATATATATATATATATATATATATACAGGACTGTCTCAGAAAATTAGAATATTGTGATAAAGTTCTTTATTTTCTGTAATGCAATTAAAAAAACAAAAATGTCATACATTCTGGATTCATTAAAATAAAGAACTTTATCACAATATTCTAATTTTCTGAGACAGTCCTGTATNACACACACACACACACACACACACACACACACACACACACACACACAATAGGCTTCAACATCTAATTCCCAGAATAATAGGGGAGACAATTTCCTTAAGATTATGATTACAGTGTTCAGTGTGTATAATAAAACTCTTCATGGCTCCTCTAATAAGTGTGTGTGTGTGTATCTGCAGTCAGAGCTGTCCTTAATTAGCCGTGCTATTGGTCACGGCGCTCTGGTAGAAACCATTCTTGCGGGGGGGTTGTTGTTTTGAAGGTGTTGGTAAAAGAAAGTGTCAGAAATATCTTGACATCACAGTGAGATGAGGTGTGTGAGTGAGTGAGTGAGTGAGTGAGTGAGTGAGTGAGTGAGTGAGTGAGTGAGTGAGTGAGTGAGTGAGTGAGTGTGTGTGTGTGTGTGTGTGTGTGTGTGTGTGTGTGTGTGTGTGTGTGTGTGTGTGTGTGTGTGTGTGTGTGCACGCGTGTGTGTGCACGTGTGTGTGTGCTGTTCCTGATGAGCAGCTTCAGGTATGAGCTCAGGATAATGTGTCTTTGTTCTTAACTGGTTTTATTATTACAAGTTCTTAAACTGAAGGATATTAAAATCCAAGAATGCTGATTTATTTTCAGTTCTATTTTATTTTGTTATCTTATGAAGGGAATTGGCATGATTCCAATTGTGTGTCACATTAATTGATAAGACTTTATGTATGGCACATTTCATAGAGGACACAAGGCCGCATTAGACCTGTGGAGGTACTAATGCAAACAGTCAAATAAATGGTTTTGCCAGAAGAAAACGGCACTATACAATAAAAAATGAACATTATCTGTTTCAGGAATCGACACTCTGGTTCCTAAACGCACTTGTTCCAATACAAAAGACAAAGTAACACACTCACCTTGGTTCCTGCAGGTCCAGGTTCTCCTCTGTGGCCCTTAAAGCCCTGTTGATAAAGAGAAGTGAATCAGACACAGCTATACGCATGGCAAGCTAATTTAAATCTGAATATTTACTGGTAGTTACTCACCGGTAGCCCCCTGAGCCCCTGGTTTCCTTGAGGTCCAGGTTCACCTTGCTTGCCCTGGAATGAATCAGAAGTAGGTGCATCATCTGGCCACGTTATACTATCAATACCCTCCAGAAATGAATGATGTGTAACTTTATATTGGATCGCGAACAAGTTAAACATCTCCGTCTACTTACAGATTCTCCAGTTTCTCCTGGTCGCCCATCTTTGCCCATTTTTCCATCCTGACCCTGCAGGATTAATGAAAGACATTATTTAGCGTCTGTAACTGTATTAACAACTGCTTGCTCCATACTGCAGGACCGGTGTGAATGTTAACGATCCAGTGTATCAAATCTTACCATTAATCCAAGGAGACCGGGTGGTCCCTGGATTCCTTTGAGACCCTCTTTGCCCTGGTGAGAAACACACAAACACAAGCAGGTCAGAAGAAGTGATGAATGGCCTCCATTACCCACAGCCTGGCTGACCTACATGCTGCAGGGAGAGGTTTGAACTAAAACACTGGAACAAATGCTGCCCCAAAAACAAGTTAAACAATAATGAAAACAAGGTGTTTCCACGTGAGATAAGTACGAAAATCTGCCAATAGAAAATGTGAAAAGTTGCTTGGTAAGATTTCTTGAAATAAGACGGGATATTTAGATAAATCACATCTTGTAATTAGCTGGGAGAACTATATTTGAACAGAACCAGGACATTTTGTGTTAGAATATAAGCCGTAAATGCTCAAAGGTTTTCTGTTTTCTGATGTTAGTCGGTGATTTTCTAATATATATGTAAAGAAATATGTGTTTCATCTGAGATACGACTCAAAATAAGATGTTTTGACTTAACAAGATGATGCATTGTCTAAAATCAAGACCCGATATCTCACTGCAGTGTTACTTCTGAAGTTATTATGTCTTATATCAGGTGTAGAGACATATTCTGACTAGATATTAGACAAATATACTTGGTAAGATTTCGAGTTTTTGTAGTGAATGGCACTTCTTTATTTAGCGAGATAATATCTTTCTGTAATACCTTTCTGCAAAATGTTTGCTACCCCTGACAGCCCTGTGAGGTTAACTTATAGAAGGCAACAACCCCTTTTTATTTTTGTATTTGTTATTACTATATATCAGCTGTTCCCAACCTGTGGGCCGTGGCCCCCTAGTGGGCCGCGAAGGCATTGCAAGTGGGCCGCCAAATAATTCACAAAACATTATGATTTGTGCCTCTTTTCCTTTCTCTTTTCTCGATCCTCCTTAGCAACGGTCATCACAGTCCTTGACAGCGGTCTGTACTACTGGATTAACAACGTGTCACATGTTCTGAATTGACCAATCAGAACTTTATTTAGCCT